AGCCCTTCATAAAGCACTTCAAGGCCAAGCAATCTCTTTCCAATATCAGACAGAGCGGAGTTGCCTCCTCAGGAATACTTGCCATGATCGAAATAGTATTTAAAAGGGATGGCATGCTTAAAGAAATGGGCGATTATGTTCTTACTCTTGAATCTCTCTCGGATGATGCAGTCTGGTTGATCATGAAGATGCTCCGTTCTAACCTTTTCAGGCCATTTCCTTCTCAGACTGCTGTTTTTTCTGAGATAGAGAATGAAAATCTATATGACACTGAAGATAAAAGGCCACTGGTTGAAGGGGCCTGGGTCCATCTGAGAAACTTTTATGAATTCCTCCAAAAAGTTGTTGATGCTGGGTTGTTACGCGAGGAACATATTGATGATAAGTTTATTACTTGGTTTTTTAATACTGCTGTGCTAGCAGATGACTACAGAGAAGCTTGCTTTGTGGCAGACCTTCTGCCATCTTTCTGGACAAAATTCCCCAACAAACAGCAATCAATTTGGAGGACTGTGCGGAGTAATCTGTCTCGTTTTGTAGCCCGGACAGGAAGAGCTGCAGACCAAGTGCGATAGGCAATCTGTTGCAGTTTGTTAGCAATCGGATTCCTGAATGGCCAGTGCCACTGCGAGAAGAGCACACACACTTTCTCCGGCTGGTTCTGATACCCATGCACAGAATCAAGGCTTACCCCAGCTATTCTTCCTGGTTACAAAAGTGTTTGGTAAGGTTCTTGGAGAAGGAAGGCTCTCTGGTCAATTTGATTTTTGAGGCTATTCTGAGTGGGGATCATATTTGTGAGTCTTCTCTACTCAATGAAATCAAAGCCCTGATGGCGATTGGTAACATAAATGAAATCAACCAATCCAATGCTGAGCTTCTGTTCGGATGCATTGCGAAGACTTTGCGATCTTCTGACAAGAAAGTGGTGAGAAAAGGACTTGATATAGCTTCCTCTGATAGATTTCTTGAACTTGCCGAGATACACAGAGAGCTTTCATTACCTGTCATAAGGATGGGGCTGCAATGTGCAATAGAGAACAATTCTGTTCGAGCTGCTGCAAAACATATTCTAGAAAAATTTTACAATGTTGAGGACGCTTTTTGGAAGTTTGATGACAACAAGACCAAGAGAACAATGTAAACCCAGCTGGCTACCTAAGAAGGGGGTGAACTGGGTCTTCTCAATTTACTTCAAAACTTGTTTCTTTTTCTTTTAAAACTTGAATCAAATTTCCAATATATAAACTGTTATGCAAAATAAACAAAGAATGATTGCAATTTTGCAAATAAAGTGTAGAAAAATAAAAAGAAAGAGAAGAGAGTATCAAGCCATGATTTATAGTGGTTCCTCTAACCTGGAGTACGTCCACTCCCCAAGCCTCCTTACTCGAGAGTTCAATCCACTAGGATTCTCTTGCTTACAGGTGCAAGATTAAACTGGAACAAATTCTTGCTTGTAGGTGCAAGATTAAACCCTCACACTCTTGCTTCAAGATGTAAGATTAAACCTTCACAAGTGAATCTCAACAACTCACTTAACCCCTTCAAGGATTATCCCAATCCAAGAAGAATACAATACCCTTGTAAGCAAAGACAATTAACCCAAAAAGCTCACAAGAAGAAGAAGAAGATTCCGAATAGTGTCAATTTCAAACTCTGTTTTTCTATCTTCCTCTGGAGAAGTCCGTTCTGGAGTTCTCTCAGATTTGATTTTTAAAGCTCTTTAATAGTTGGTTGGGAGCTCTTGCAATTAAAGCCTATTTTGCCCTTCAAAGCCACCTCACAATTGCTCCAATCAAATTCCACCCTTTTTCTACTTCCTATAATAGACTCTGACTTGTCTTGGAATGTGCTTAGTCATTTGGATCCCTTTAAGGTCTATTAAGACAAAACAGATAATTGAACAGCCAAAGGTGTACCTTCCAAAATATTTGCTTTGAAGCTAGAAATATTGGTTCGAATTGTTTTCAGAAAAACTAAACTACGGGTTGGTTTAAATCAATTGGAATTGATTCGAACCTAGAACTTTGGACAAGGAGGACATGCTTTAATTCTAATCGTGGGGAAAGATTAGAATTCTTGAATTAGCTTTCCTACACACTTAGCACAAAAGTAGATTAAACTCTTTAAAGCATGATTTTAAATCATCATCAAAATACAAAGAGAATCTAACATTCTCCCCTTTTTTGATGATGACAAAACCATGCCTTAAAATAATAAAGATAATAAATGTAAGCTCCCCCTCAAAATATGCTTCCAAGTTTCAACAGGAAATGGACAAACAAATAATAAAGATAATTTTCATTTAAGTTCCTCTCTCCCTTTTTGTCATTAGCAAAAAGAAACATACAAGGCAGCGTAAAGCATAGCATAGAGTTCAAACATACAAATTAGCAAAATGCAGTGGACAAAAGACAAAAGGCACTACACTAATAGGTTAGTAGACAAAAGATAATACCAAGATAGCACCAAAGTCAGACATTGTAATAGGACTAAGCACCAAAATTACAGCCAAAGTCAATACAAATATACAGATGGTCATTACAAACTGATATCAGAATAAACTAACTCTTCCAAAAACACAGAGAGTAACTCATTAGAATAAGTTCAAATCTAAAATACAAAGGGCAATATCTTTAATGGATTCGCTTCGAACCTAATTTTTGTGGTTCAAATCAATATACTTTGCAAATCACTTTTTGTTTCTTCTTCATTTTAATTTTAATTTTATTTATTTAATGATATTTATTATAGCAAATTTTATCTATTCAAAGATAATCAAACAACTGGATATTTAAGAATCAAAATTTAACAAGTTGGGTCATACACGCCTATGCCATGTCTTATTAAACAAAATCGTTCTTCATTCAAAGGTTTGGTAAATATGTCTGCCAATTGGTTTTTAGCTTTTACAAATTCAAGTGTTAAGTCACCATTGTTCACAAGTTCACTAATAAAATGATATCTAATTTCAATGTGTTTTGTTCTTGAATGTTGAATTGGATTCTTGGTTAGATTGATTGTACTAGTGTTGTCACATCTAATCAGAATTCCTTCAAGTTTGCATCCAAAATCCTCTAATTGTTGTTTCATTCATAAAAGCTCAGTTGCACAACTACCAGCTGCAATATACTCAGCCTCAGTAGTTGACAAGGCAACTGAATTTTGTTTCTTTGAGTACCAAGAAACCAAGCCACCTCCTAAGATTTGACAAGTTCCATTATTGCTTTTCCTATCAACCTTACTACCAGTAAAGTCAGCATCTAAGAATCCAAATAAATCAAAATTCATCCCTTTGGGATAGCAAAGACCTAAGTTTTGAGTTCTTATAAGATATCTAAAGATTCTTTTTAATGTAGTAAGATGAGAGTCCTTAGGACATGATTGAAAATGAGCACACAAGCACACACTGAACATAATATTAGGTCTACTAGCTATCGAATATAATAATGAACTTATCATGCTTCTAAAATGTTTTTCATCAAAAGGCTTACCTTGTTCATCTTTGTCTAGTTTGAGGGTAGAGCTCATTGGTGTGCATTGAGGCTTAGCCTTGTCCATTCCAAACTTTTTCAGCAGCTCTTTGGTATACTTTGATTGATTAATGAAAAACCCTTCATTACTTTGCTTGATTTGCATTCCAAGGAAGAAATTTAATTCTCCCATCATACTCATCTCGAACTCTCCTTGCATAAGCTTAGAAAAATCCTCACAAAGAAATTCATTAGTAGCAGCAAATATTATGCCGTCTACATAGATTTGAATAATTAAAATAGGTTATATCCCTGATTCAGTCCCTCAACTTTCATTTTTGAACTAAAACTGCCCTCGAACTTCAAAAAGTACTAAAAAAATCCTTGAACTTCAATTTTTGGGACCAATTTCGTCCTTCCGTCAGTTAAGTGCTGACATGGCAACATTTCCCGTTAACAAATTCAATTTTTATTAATATTAAATATTACCTGAAAATAAAATGAGTGACGTGGCATTTTTAATTATAAAAATATTGTGACTTGGCACCAAAAATATAATTTAATAAATAAAATTTTTTTTTTTTTTT